ATTTTTGGATTTTGCCATTTTTTTCCGCTATTTTGCATTCTTTTCTTCTTATCTTCATTAAACATAAAGTTTTACCTATTAAACGTAAATTACATAAATTAGGTAGAATTTTATTCAAAAGACAATAAAATATCATAATTTAGAGCTCCAAATAAGTATAAAAACTATACTTATCAGCACTCATTTGCAAAAGCATAGTTCTAGCAACTTCTAGTAAATGTAAATTTGTCTTCTCTACTATCTCATTTTTGTCACATGACAGTACATGAAGAATGTTGAATAATCTCTCCTTTTTGGAAATAAGAATTCAACTCATTTTTGAAATTTCTTTTTCTATTATTTGAACTACTCAATTGATTGCATATCATTTTATGGAGGATGGATGAGTTGATTGACTTGACTCTAATTTTTTAGCAGATATATCCATGTTAACAAACATTTGACTGAATACTCTTCTCTTGAGGGACTCTTTGCAGTATATAGGAAGAGTTTTACATATACAACTATGATATCAATCTAAATATGATAGATGTAATCAACCTAAATATGGTAAATACTATTGTATATATAATTATGTTAAAGTCATAATCTTTGTCAATTTTCGTGGTCTTCGTCAATTTCCATGATCTATGTCGATCTTATTGACATCCTACCTCAAATTGATGATGGTTGATCAAGAAGCATAAATTTGTTGATTGGTGTACTAAAGAACTCAAAGGTTCAAACACCAATAGGTAGCCCAAAAATGGACCACATCCATTCATCAAAATACTAAACCATACTCAACCCAATAACCAGGCCCAACCACATAAATCACCCCAAACCCTCTCAGCCTAGTGCACAACAAGCTTATTACCTACAAAAATTAGAGAAAATTACCATAAACAAGGTGTTTAGTTTTAACTTTTTAATAATCAGGTTTTGACTTTTTTTAATCAAAAATCAGGTTTTATTATTTTTAACTAATAATGATATTATAAAATTAAAATATCATATATACTCACCCTACT